TAGTTTATTACGTAATGTTCTATTAACATTATCTTTTTTTGCCACCTTTCTTTGAAGTTTATAAATTTGTATGCACATGTTTTTCTTCAGCTTTAATAGCTGTGATTGCTGTTTTTCTAGTTACATCAATATCCTTATTTTTTTTGTCGTTCAATTAATTTTTTGCAAACTTTTTTTTATAAGTTGCAGTTGATGTGCTAGGCATTGCTTTATCAACATCCCTAATAAGGCTGCGACTAAATCTGTTGCTGGAACTTATTTTCCTCAAATGATTGAAATATAACATAGTGCATCCAAGTTTTTAATAAAATTCCCCAAATATAAATATATATAATGCAACATTAGAAAATTATTAATATTATATGTATTCGTTCAGTTATAAGTTTTATACAATAGATAAAATAAAATAAAATTACTCATAATTTTTTCTTATTTGTTACATTATGAGCATAACAAAAAATATACATGTACATTGTACATTAAAGAAAATCCCATTATAATATGACAGTCAGTTCGTGTTTGACTCCAGGCCGAGCAACACGTGTGTATATAGTATTATCGGCTTATCGCTACCCGCATTTTTATCTTCCGATAGAAGTGACCCAACTCTACACTAAATAGTCAATGAACCAAAACAATGAACACTTCAACAAGCCAATAGACATCTCAGAACTACTTTCTGCACTTCAAAGCTGTAAAAGCAAAAGCCCGGGGGGGGGGGCTAGGGGGCTGCAGCCCCGGGCCCCGATATTATTTGGGGCCCCGGGCCCCTGTTGATATTTAATTATTAAAGTGGCATTTTGAAATAAATATATGATATTACTGGTTAGTGGTTACGTAGTTTCGTTAGTCACGTATCGTAATGGAATTTATTATTATTCTCTAATCGATAAAATAAACTATTAAGGTTTAAGATAAAATTGGTCAAAAGCACTTTATATCGTTATGATTACAATTTATCTTAACATAGGTACATTTTGATGGTCAGTTTAGCATTATTAGTACAATCGGTACACTAGTATTCYGTCGACTGTCGTGATATTAAATTATTAAATTAGTTTTTAGTCGAGTTCGTGAGTTTTGTTCGTTACTAGTGTGTGCCAAAAATTATTGAAATTTAAAAATGTCTGATAAAAAAAGRATTTATCTCAGTGGTTATGCAAAACGAAAATTAAAGAAGGAGGCCGAAGACGCAGTAAGCAAGTTACCTAAATTAACAAATTTTTTTGAAACTATCAACAGTGCAAACAGAGTAGAAACTAATAAAAATAATAAAAATGATTTGGTTCTAAATAATAGTTATATTCATGTTGAAAATATGAATAATGATAGTAATAGTGTAATGCCTAATACAATAGTGACATCAAAATCTGATAGTGTACATTTTTCTGAAAATAATATTAACAGTTGTTCTGCAATAGAAAACTCAAAATCTGGTACTTTTAATTTTTCTGAAAATAATGTTGACAATGGTTCTACAGCAGAAAATGCAGTGATTGCAATTAATTTTAATTCGAATGTTCATACTATTGAACTTGATATCGAATTATATCAAGATCCGGGAATGTGGTCATTAGTGTTAAACAAAACTTTTATAGAATTATGCTGCTTAAAAGGACCAGCATTTTTTAAGAATATGGATCCAAAAAAATTTCAATCATCCGAAAAAAAATTTWAAAATTTTAATCGCTCATTAAATATATCATTATTCGAATTAAAATTGCCCAATGGTGAAATACACTTACGTAAATGGMTCRTGTTTTCTGAACACACTGGCAACGTTTATTGTTTTGTTTGTAAACTATTTAATAAGTCAAATAATTCAAGTTTTATTAATCCTGGTTTTAACAACTGGAAAAAATCTCACGAAAAAGT